GGTACCACGGTCTTGTGTGCCGTAAATCCGAGCGAAAGATTGCAAGACATTAGAAGGTTAATAACATTATCAAGAGGAGCCTCACAACAGCTGGATGCCCAGCAGTAAGGGAGCCACCCCAACTATGCAGATCTGATGGTAGCCAGAAGCGTCCAGATGGTATCACCCTTCAAGCCTGGACAGATGGGAAGCAGGTGGTGTGGGACTATACATGTGCATCTACCTTGGCTGATACCTATCTCCAATACACCAGGGAGGAAGGAGGGGCAGCTGCCAGCTTCAGGGAGTCCCAAAAGTCTAGAAAATATGGAGAACTTGCCCATCATTATATGTTTTGTTCCCATAGGCTCAGAGACCCTTGGCTCATGGGGAAAGAGTGCATCTATATTCCTTAAGGAGCTGGGAAAAAGACTCATCAGGGTAACTAGGGATCCCAGGGCAGCTAGTTTTCTGTTCCAGTTGCTCAGTGCGGATGTTCAAGGGGTAATGCTTGCTGTATTTTGGGCACACGCCCAGCACTGAGGAGCTGGATGAGATTTTCGCCTTATAATCGGTGATACACACGTAACAACATGTACCTTATATGCCACCTTTATATCAACAATGTATCTCTTAAATCTTCTGTACCATATTATGTAATAAATATTCATATTGGTAAAAAAAATATATATATAAAGATGGAGGTGGTAGGGGAAGTAATATTCAAAATGCTTCAGGAAGAAATCCAAATATTCTCCTTGAAGCCTTTTTATCCATATATTATATATATATATATATATATATTAATATATATATATATATATATATATATATATATTATATATATATATATATATTATATATATATATTACATATATATATATATATATATATATATATTATATATATATATATATATATATATTTATATATTTATATATATTTATAGATAGATAGATAGATAGATAATAGATAGACAGAGGAGTAAGAGAGAGAAATTACCTTCATTGTAGATCTCTAAGGGTAGTTCTCAATGGAACGGAATTAGCAAGTCAATTGTTCCACAAGGAAGTGTGCTGGGACCATTGTTATGGAATGTCTATTTCAGTGACCTTCTTCATCTCATCCCAGAATCCCATACATAAGCAAAGGACTGTACACTGACACTCACTTATCCAAGAGAAGAAATGACAGCTGCTCTAAGCTACATCAATCGCCAGAGCTATATCAGCTTGGGGAAATAGATGGCAAGTAATATATACATCTGAGAAAACAAAAATGATGATCGTCTCTAGGCACTCTGATGGTAATGGCGGTGCAGTAGTAAGGATGAATGGGAGGGTGTTGGCACCTGGAGAAGAAGTTGATATCCTTGGTGTGAAATTCGACCCCAAACTGCCCATGAAGAACCATGTTGTAAATCTTGCAAACAAGGCAGCCAGGAAGCTTACAGCGCTTCGGCGTATCTCGCATCTGCTTGACAGTAGGGGTTGCAAGATTCTGCATGAGGCACAAGTACGATCACAACTAAAGTATGCTCCACTTTCTTTGTTTGCCTGCCCCCCTCTCATCCTGCGACTGCTTGACAGAGTGGAGAACAGAGCAAGACGCCTTACTGTTATGTACAAGGCCAATATTATCAAAGCACCACACTTGGATCCACTTCGGGGACAGCGTGAAGCAAGCTTCTATACCACAAAATGGGCAGAAAGCAGCAACTTCAATCTGGTTGTACCTTCTCCAAAACATCACTTTATCTGAGATCATTTATTCCCAGAATGACTAGAGTCTTGAACACATTCCTACAGCATTATGATGTCAACGAGATAAAGTCAATTGATCAAATGAAGATGCTGGCCCACAGATGGCTCCAACTTCATCCTGTTCCCTACTTGTATGTCTCTGACAATAAAAATGCTTTTAAGTGAGCTGATGTAGGTAACAGCTCTTAGCTTGCCAATAAAGTTAGGAATCCTTAACCTGTAAATAGCTTGTCAATAAAGTTAGGAATCCTTAACCTGTAAATAACTTGTCAACAAAGCTAGGGATCCTTAACCTAACCTTGAAAAACCCTGTGTAAAAAAAAAAAAAAAAAAAAAGTCATGAAGACTGGATGTTATAGAGACGTCAGGTGAGGGACGGGTAGCTCACTAAGACAGTGTCACTGGTAGGCGGGATACCCCAGTGGAAGTAGGTCATATACCCGAAACACGGGCCAGTAGTAGTTAACAAGGTTGTTGAGATGTCTTGTGAACCAAGGCTCCACCAACTCCAAGGTTGAATTTGTATTGATGAAGCCACTGGATGGCGAAACGTCTACAATAAAGATACCCAGGTGTTGCACATGTGTCTAATTCTTGATCTTGTCGGTATCGTATACCATACATGTACAATCATTTAGGATGTTTTTTTGTGTTACAGAATCAACGCACTGATGATGAACACTCCAGAGTTCGCGCAAGCATTCAACTGCAGTGTTGACTCTAAGATGGTGGCCCAGGAGACCTGTCATATATTCTGATGTTGACCAACTTCTGTAACCTGATTAATGCAACAGTAGCCGGCACCAATAAGTCTACCTAACACACCTTCAATATCTTGATAGTGACCAGTTTTCTGGCCCATCAGGCTGGCCTACTATATTATCTGGCCCATCAGGCTGGACCACCAAGCTGGCTCACCAGCTGGGCCATCAGCCTGGAATACCAGGCTGGCCCATCACATCTTTGGGCCACGACTAATACAAATCAAGCATCATCTTTGGAGTCAGCGGGCGGAGCGGTAAACTCGTAGGGGTCACACGGCACCTCGGGAAATGGACGACAAGCAAGTTCGATTCAAGAAAAGGAAGGATATGTCTGTTTCCTCGGATCAAGAGCCTCCTCCCTCACCGGTATTGAGGCACCTCCACTGAGAAGGAAACCAAGCCAGACGAAGGCCGTCGACTTGAAGCCGGAGGCCTTCTTGAAGCCGAACGAAGGCCGTCTTGAAACCAGATGGAGGCTGTCTTGAAGCCGGACGGAGGCCGCCTTGAAGCCGGACGGAGTCTACCTACCTACTTGGAGGGTATTCCGGGGATCAACGCCCCCGCGGCCCGGTCCACGACCAGGCCTCCCGGTGGATCAGGGCCTGATCAACCAGGCTGTTACTGCTGGCCGCACGTAGTCAAAAGTACGAACCACAGCCCGGCTGATCCGGCACCGACTTTAGGTATCTGTCCAGCTCCTTCTTGAAGGCAGCCAGGGACCTATTGGTAATTCTCCGTATGCATGGTGGGAGACTGTTGAACAGTCTTGGGCCTCGGACACTATGGTGTTTTCTCTAGTGTACAATGGCGCCCCTACTTTTGATTGGGGGTATTTTGCACCGCCTGCCCAGTCTTTTACTTTCGTAGGGAGTGATTTCTGAGTGCAGATTCGGGACCATTCCTTCTAGGATTTTCCAAGTGTAGATTATGATATCTCTCTCTCGCCTGTGTTGTTTCGAAGCCGGACATAGGTCGTCTTGGAGCCTGGGCTCCTCAGTACTCGTGACCTGAATGAAGCAAGACTCTGCAAATTTGTACCAGGTTTTCTCTTTCTCTCTGTTTTGTCTACTGACACAGTACACCCGACCAGTTTAACACCGCCCACACTCAAGTGCCATCCAGGTGATCTCATATAAATATCCACTTGCCAGGTGTGTCTGCACACAGGGCCCCAGACTGCCACAGGGGCCCAGACTGCCACAGGGGCCCAGACTGCCACAGGGGCGCAGACTGCTACAGGGGCCTAGATTGCAGCAATCTAAAATAGTGCAGTCTTTGCCTGAACCGTAATTAGACAAAAGACTTATTGAGCGGCATTTTGATCTCTTAAGACCTTTCTAAAGTCGATGACCTGATGGAGATCTAAGGTGGTAAACCTCGAAGTACAACAACAAGACCTTACAGGGTGTTGCAGCTGCAGGAGACTGACAGTTCTGAAGACAGAACTCTAACACAGTCTTCAAGCTGCAGAACCTTTACAATCTGTTGTTCGTGTTCCTTTACAGAAGCTAGAACCAGGAGAGATTAATTCAGTTTCTGGAACTAAAACCTCTCTGGTTATAACCAACTCCAAAACAATGACCGTCAATATGCGTATATGTATATACGGTCAACTTACTCCATAACAATTAGCCGTCAAGATGCGTATATGTATATACGACCAACTTACTCCATAACAATAGCCGTCAAGATGCGTATATGTATATACGACCAACTTACTCCATAACAATAGCCGTCAAGATGCGTATCTATTTAAGCAAAACTCTGGGGGAAATCAATTTCTCTTCAGAGTAAATATTGATCTGTATTAAAAAAAACGCATCGTTCCTCATTTGTTTCTTTTTTTTATGACGACTACTCAGATAAAAAAAATATATAAAGAATAGA